GGTGAGCGGAGTGCTCGCTCCGCGAGGGTGGCGAGAAGAGTAGACGGAGGAAGCGGAGGAGGACGCGGACGGATAAAACGCAAGAGGCTCGAATTATCATAATATTGGTCATTGCCTGCTGCTTCTCTCTCTCTCTCTCTCTCTCTCTTTCTTTCTTCCTCTCTCCCTCTCTCGCTCTCTTTCTCTCTCTCTGCTCCAGAAAGCGAAGTAGCTGACTATCAGATCCCTTCTACCTTGTGTGTACACCGTCCCGGCGACTTATTACCATTCCACTCCACACCACACCATGCTGTTGAAGCACCGTTTTGTGCATGTACGTGTGACCGTAGCTAATGCTCTCTTCGCTTCACGCTTACCCTCGACAACGAAGAAGACTTTCTATCGTTTCTCTCTTCAGCGCTAAGTTTCCGCGATAAAACCAAGCACGGCTGATCCTGTGCGTTTCTTTGGTCTCGTCGTCCCGCTTTGATAGCTCAATGGCGCAGTTGAACTTGTCGAGTTTCTACGCAAAGAGCCCTTACGTCTTTTCGATTAATATAAATTGCATATTGTAATTAATAATTTGCATTTTTTTTTAAATAAGAATAGTAATCGGCAAATAAAATACATTAATAATTTAATTTGTGATTATTGTATTAATATCTATAAATAAGATTTTAACTTGCGGTACTTTATGCTGCACAGCATAACATGGTTCTAAACTCACATAATGCTATTGGCTTCTACTGAGTCGTCAACATCTCTACATGCCTAAGATGTTTACTACCGATCTTACAGATTTCATTATTTTGCAATTATAATCAGAGTAAAGCAATAAATAAAAGGTCGCTTCCTCTCTCGAAGATCGTTGTTAAAAATTCTTTTCGACATTTTTGAATGAAGTAATTTTCAATGGGTTGATATGCGAACAGAAAAGTTCGAGTCCCCGATTGATACTGATTGTGAGAAAGAGAAGGGAGAGGAGAGGCAGGGGGGGGATAAGAATTGGTGCACCCAGATCGAAAATATTTCCGCGTTTCACGGGTACGCTCGACGGATCAGAGGGATCTTCTCTCTCCTCGCATAATGAACCTCGTTCCCATCGTTTCTAATTGTCAACCACCGGCACGTTATTTACCCCCTGAGCGAGGAGAGTTATGAAAGGGGGGGCGACGCGCGAGACTCACCTCCTCCTTCTTCATCCCCCCTGTAAGTATACGGGCCGGCACACGCCTTTGGCACGGGCGCCGCGCTTGTATCCGTGGTGACAATGCAAACCGAAACAAACACTTAGCGGCACGTGAACGGCACGTGGCCGACAGGATATATTGCATTCCGAATGCACACACACTTGACGGACGATTAAAGGGGTGTTGCACGCGCGAAGAACCACGATCGTGACAACGATATACGATTCTCCCTTCCTCCCGCCCTTTCGTTTTTCCCGCTGACTACCTACTTATGCTCATCGCGAGTCGAGATAGTTGTAACTTGTCTACCAGTTATGTCCTTTACGTTTAGACAAAGAAAAGCAGCTTATAGGATGTCCGTTAGCATTTGTATCGAAATTACTGTCAGGTTAGTTAAGTTAAGATAGCGTGTGCTTAAAATTATACTGGTGATTGCTGAACGGAATGAAATATGACGAACGAGAAGTGAAATTTATAACTTATTTAATCTACGATAAAAATCAGTCGAAAAATTAATTGAATAAGTGGAGTTTCTTTCTCTATAAGAAAATCTGTTCTATGTAATTTATATTCGTAATACGATCATTGTTTTAACTAAACGAGAATTATATATTTTTATTCTAAATGGAATTTTTTTTAGTGAGAAATTTTTTATAAATTTCTAATTACAGATATTGATTTTAATTAGGAGCTTGACAATGTAAACGAGTATGCTGAAATCGCGAATCATTTGGAATACATAACGAATGAGCGATAACGTTGCAGTGTTATAAATAATCGTCTAAGAGTGTTGTTTGATAAATTGCGCTAAGTCGAACTCTTTCAGCGCAATTAAATTATTGGTAAATGTTTATCTACGATTTAGTGTCTATCTATCTATCTATCTACCTACCTCTGAATTTTCCTTCTCGACCCTGGACTCCTCGACCCTCTTATCGCACGCGCGCAATTATTTTATCACCTCGCGAGATATAGCGTTTACCTACATGCAACGCGTTTGAGATAATGCAATAATAGTTGCTTTTGTAAACTGTAGCATCATCGTTATTCGGAGCACGCGTGCAAGTCTTACGCACACGTGTCATAAATCTGTGCGGTCTAATGTGAATCTCGTAATACATGTAAATCTAACGATTTCATAATGAAATTTGCAATTTGCAATGCTAGTTTTGCGTCATTATTTGGTAAATATTAACCTCTTTTTTTTTATTTAAAAATAAAACTAATATGACACTTGCTATATGACGGATTTATGAGATGTGTTAATCAATTACGGGGTGTGAAAAAAAATTATGTGACGAGAAAACAAGTTGTCCTACAATGAATTAGCACGTTTGATAGTCTTATCACTGACAAATGCAATATCAATACAAAGTTCTACAATATTGATTTTATTCCCGTATTGAAATTGCGATCAAGTATCATACCCGTACAGAAAGATACGAAAGACAATTTGTTTTATCGCTTTCGCTTATCAATTAATTGATCTAATCGCTCTAAGCGGGTTTCCTGTAGAGCGCTGATTCTTACAAGATTACCTATAATAGCAACATTAAATTACGCCACGCTAAACAGATAAAAGATAAATTGACTCAGCTGCATTTGTACTCAAAATGCTCGATGCACGTGGCTATTTTTATCGCTCTCGATTCGCACACGCAAGAGCGCGTATACTCACGTGCGCAAGACACTAATAGTCTCTCGCAAACCGCGTCGCGTCGTAAATTTTCCTCTCTGCGACGCGTGGAGAAATAGGAGAGAAAAGCAAACGCGGGAAGAGAAACGGAATGACAGGGAGGGAAAACCGGTGCTGTGGAGTGGAGGAGAGGCGCGTTTTAAGCGCGATGCTCCAAGTGCTGCGGGATGCGGCGGCGGTGACGGTGACGGCCGTTATCTTCGTCACGATCGAGGAATGTAATATCGTCACCCCAAGCGACAAGAGTTGCCTTCGTATCGCCGTTTAGAATACCGTCTTCGTGTGGGGGGGACACGGGGACAGGGATTAAACTGCAATGAAAATCTACTCATTCTGCGCTCCACCGTCGCCGCCCTCTTCTCTTTTCCGCTTCGTATTGCCAGCGCCGGGAGAAGCGGGTAAACAAGATATTGCTTTGTACGCCCTCTCCTCCTCGTCTTTCGTTTCCGCGTTACCGTTTTACCGTCGACTTCTCTCGCGTCTTTTCCGTTATCGCCTTATTTCGCGCGCACGACATCCTTTCCTATATATACCGAAGCAGAGACGGGGAGAATTGTTCACTTCTCTCGGCCGGATACACCCGGTGCTTTTACACGACCTTTTGCTTCTACCCTTTAATTATCCAGTAAGATTTTAATCTGTATAATTATCGTATCGACGAAGAATAAACCGAGGCAGATAAGAAGAGGCTTATAAGGGGAAGATTGGGTTAGACCAGTCGCCGCGCTTATACTTAACGATACTTTATTGTTTTTATTATTACATATTATTATAAATCTATCATTTTGACACATACAATACTTACTAAGATCTACTGACGATTCTTTTTAACGATAGGATGTGTGTAGCCTATAACTAAACATATATCTCGATTTCGCTGCTTCTTTATTCTTAGCGGAGGAACAAAGTGAAGTACCGCGACGTGCGTGTCTCGTAACGATTGAAAAATATACGAGATTAATAAAATATATCGTATATCACCGTTGCAATTTGCTAAATATTCGCTCGTTACAAGATTTTCACATTTTCACTGACCGTCGCAATGTAAGAATAGTAGGCTTGTTTATTTTTACATCAAAATAATTTGGATCCGCTAGATCTCAATTTCGCTATTGAACGTAAATTATATACATTGGTATGAGCTTTCAAAAGCATTTTTCAAGCGCGTCATGTATTTTTCATTAAATGCCACGTCACTTCTCACGTGCAAGCATTGAATTAATGTACTAATCGATCATGTATATTTCGACAGTGCTTGGCTTTAACAAATTTAGATTTTATCAGCACAAGGTTTTTTCCATAATTTTTACTATAATTTGCCGCAAAATTTAATTAGGTCTTATAATTTTAGCTTTCTGAAACTTTAGGACTAAACGTGCACTTTATAATTAATTTGTATTCTTTTCACAAATTAAATTTTTTTGTATTGCCATTTTTAAAATACTTAAATTATACTTGTTTGTTTTAAGTTTCGGACAGAAATTTGTATTAAAGATTACACACAGGATTGCTCCTTTATCGGATACAAACGTAACGAATTAAAAGCGTCATTAGGGATCGTCATTATCTTCAAAGCTTCGACCACTTCATCACGCGAAACGAAAAACGTATCCTAGTCATAAAATGCCATATAGGTATTCACAATTACGTATGGATCGCGCTACGGATTCACTGTATGTACATCAAACGTCTACTTGACCGCTTACGGCTAAATTGGGAGGACGGGGCGGCGGCTTTACAATAAATCCACCGAAGAAAGACTTCTCCCCGCTATAACAGAGTGCTGCGCATATATTTGTCCGGGACTCGTATTTACAATGCCGATATTAATCGGCCATACGGAAGCGGCCTAAGTTCGCCTAACCGACGGATCCGGGCAACGAAAGTGAAATCGAGGGGAACGCGGGGCAACTTATCCGCGCGACGAACTTTGTTCGCAAAAGCTTGTTTGACGAGTGGAAGTACATTATTGTTTCACTTCTCCGGTTGCTGCGTGTTGACGAGATTCGTAATAATTAATAATTAATGTTATTGGGATGATTAACCAAAGAAAATATTATATTCAAAGAAAGAAACTAGTAATAATTCTAAAAAATTTTTCAATTATAATTAAATAATTATATATAGTGGTGATAATAAAGATTTCAGTCTCTTGAAAAACAAATTTTTTACGAAAAAAATTTATAAAAAGTAGTGAACGGAAAAAGATTCACGATTGAAATATAATTTTAGCAGTGAATTAAAATAATTATAATGCATCTTCCACTAGTCGTCTTAAGAAGCAGCACTTAGCAGATTGCTAAATAAAAATGCTACGCTCTATTGCACTACGCCTTTTTACAGAGATGCGCCGATATGTACGGGATGCGCTATATTATCCTCGATATACATCTTTATTAAGTCGATTCATACGTATTTCTATAGTTTCTGCGACGCATCTTGATTACCTACTCGGTAAGAAACGACCATCAGGAATTTCATAACAGGAATTTCGCCAGGTTTGATTACATGAAGCATGACCCTCATTTCGCCTTACCGAATAAAAACTAGGATATAACACAGACAATGCCTGAATTTCGATCTCGATGTACGTCCCTCTTGTCGCCTGCAATCGCCTGAATATTTTATCGCGAAAATGTACGGCTAATACATGCAGAACGAACATCCGCTAATTTTCAGAAATCCGTGTCGGAGCTTCACAAAACGCATGTCAAATATAACAGTTTTGTTACAGATAAATTCTGCCCAAATGATATAGAAAACATTGACGATATAATAAAAAATGAATATTTTTTTTAAACTTTGCTTTAATAACATATATTTCTTTCTTCGATGTAGACCATAAATAAACTGTGATCTATAGGAAGAAACGATTTTTGAATTGCGAAACGACATCATGTTCTGTTCATTTGCGAGATCAAAATGTTTATTTCATTTGGACAGCATTGGTCAAAAAGAATATCTGCTAAACGACATCAATTACCATCGCCTCTGGAACGAGTGGTCCTTTGCAGTGCGATTGCTTTAAACTTCCTCGAATCATCTTTGACCAGTCAAGTCTCTGATCAATCTTTGATGAGCACGGTTCACCAACGCGATTAGTGTTCACTTTGAAATCCTATCATTCTTCTTCCTAGGAAGAGAAACTACGATTTCTCTTCCATTTCTTTATTTTGAGGGGCAGAAGCTGAATAGCTGAAGCTTCTGGATTCAAACTGTCGATAATGTCGGAACTCGCTTCTTTATATAGCAATAATTATGAATTCTTCTTACAAGAATACGCTTAGTTATGTCACTTCTGGCCCTCCCAAAATAATTATCAATCACGCCAAGCTCGCAATAGAGTGCTAAAAAGTTAATACTTTCGTAAAGTCACCATCTGTCTTTGTCGATTGGAAAAGAAAAGTCGCCAGGCTCCTAGACGAGCGGTGAGAAGGCGGACGCCTGGCTCCTAATCTCTCTGTGCTCCGACGGGCTGAGATCTAATAACGCGCCGCAGTTCTGATCGCTGGCTGCTTGCTTGCCGATGAGCGCGTCGATGCTGAAGTTGCGCTTCTTGTCGACGCTCGTCGTGTGGCTGGTCGGCAGCGTCGTGATCCTGGTGGAGGTCGGGTCCATCTGTCTAATCGGCGGCGCCGTGATGGGCACTGGTTTGTAGAGCGGTGGCGGCGGTTCCAGGAACCCACCGAGCTTCAACGCCTCCAGGGTCGTCGGGGAGAAGTCTAGCAACGGCAGACCGGGCGGTGGCGATAGATAAGCGGCTCCGGGATAGGCTAGAGCACCCGGGTGACCGCCACCGCCACCCGGACAAGGTCCCCGGTCGCCGCAGATGGCGAAGGTGGCCATGATCGCTCGGTCCCGCAGCACGTAGTGCGGCGGCGGCCTCTTGTATCGCTTCCTGCGTCTCAGGAAGCTACCGTTGTCGAACATGTCCTCCGCCAATGGGTCCAGCGTCCAGTAGTTGCCTTTTCCCGGGTTCCCGGGCTCGCGCGGAATCTTGATGAAGCAATCGTTGAGCGAGAGATTGTGCCTGATGGAGTTCTGCCAGGCGGGAAACTTATCGTGGTAGTAAGGAAAGCGGGACATGATAAACTCGCAGATGCCGCTCAACGTCAGCTTCTTCTGCGGCGATTGCAGGATCGCCATGGTGATCAGCGCGATGTACGAGTACGGCGGTTTTATCAGGGACGACGACATTTTGTCGGAACCGTAGCCGGAGGGCGATTGACTGGAACCACCGGATTTTCCCGATTGACTCGACGCCGACATCATCGAGTACGTTTTCTTAGAAGATCGCCCGCCGCCGCTGCCGCCGCCGCCACCACCACCGCCGCTTCGACTCCTGCCGGCCGACGGCGGCACCGACGTCGACGTTGGTACCGGCGAGCAGCTCGGTATTACCGGGCTCGACGACGTCTGCGACGGCGGCGACAGGTCGTTCTTGTCGAGACTCACCGGGTCGACGATCATGCTGCTACTGTCCGAATCCCGGTCGCTGTCCGCGCAGCCGTCGCACGACAGGTTCGACATCATCATCGCACGTGGCTCCATCGTGATCGCCGCCTCATGAGCATAAGGGCCTGCCACCGGGGTGCTCGTTTATTTCGCCGTCGGTCCCGCGGTCGACTCTTCGAGACTACTGCTCGCTCTCATCCTCCATCAAAAGTCCAAACTCGATACAAAATCTTATCAAAACTTTTTTTTCTTTCAGTATTTCTCTGATATGAAACCTTCAAATTATTTAGTTGTTAACAAAGAAAGAAATTACGTATTACAAGTTCTAGATTGATCATACCAAGTGCCGAGTTGTCCGCGAATACGAAATATTTCACTTATATAAAAACACTTCTTAACAAGAATCAGTTATATCAGTTCTTGTCCAACATAATCACGGAAGAAAACTGCATCCGTCAGAATATAACAAGAGTTCCACATGTTAATTATCCACGAAATTTCTTTGGTACAAATAATTGTTACGATTTACTCGTCGTTACCATTAACATTGTGATACAAGTTGCAGTGTCGTTATACGAACATTAAATGACTGTACCGCACTTCACGAAATTTTTCCGCGGATCGTCCGTCGTCGGGACAACACGCGAGTTACTTCTGTTGCGATATATTTCAGCGGAGCGACTGTCACATTCAATCCGTCACTCTATCCTCCGCTTGATGAGTGCTATCTTACGCTAATAGTTTGTTTCCACAACGATAACGGGACTTTTTCGCTTCGTCCTGCTTCTTCGTCTTACTTCCATCCGACTCGTGTAAGTTCAAGCTGCGATGCACACATCAGTCGTCCGACGAGACATTGTTAAGGATAGGAAATCGTCTCCCGCGATTTGTCTGCGGGGATACATTTCATCGCGCACCTTCCAGCAACATCCAATCACACGGACTCGATGGGATCTTCGGTATCTTCTCGCCAGTTCACTTGCTATAAAATAATCTTGCAGTCACGAGATCGTACGACCTTCCCTCCTCATTAAAAATGATTTTGATTTGAACTAAATTGTCTCCTGAAAGCGATTTATATCGAGGTTTCACGCGCGAATCTTTCGCGACGTTTTCGAGGGTCGTCATAAGTTTCTTTTGGCATTGACACGCTTTTTCTAAGATTAAGACGGGCCGAGATCGGATGCCACGAACTCGCGAACGACGGAGGGTGCACGATCGCGAGCGGAGAATCGTCTACAGGGTGAGATCGAGTCTCGAATTGATTTGAAGCGACCGTTTCGGTCCTACGTGGGCGGACCAATGGGCGGGCGTTTCGACCCCCACCCCGGCTCGCACCCCGTTAGACGAAACCACCCCAGCCGGTCGGACCGACGTGTTTCCACCCTGCAAGAGTAGAGGAGCGACGTGGAGAACGGGGAGAAAGCCCCGGAGGGGGTTAGGACGGGAGTTAGGAAAATAGCGGGATAGTTAAAGGGACTTTCGAGACGGGGGTTGTGGAGAGGGCGGGAGGGCGAAATTGTAACACTTCGAAGGCTGATTTGCTTTGAGCGGCGCGATGAAGATGGAGCGCGAGCCACTGATCTACGAGCAGTCGCCGGCGACGCGACCTTCTCCGTCGTGCGATTGCTTTTTCGACACCAATTTTGTGGACGTTTTTTTTTTTTTAAAACGGCACTTTAAAAACGCGAGACTATATGAATTGATTTAATTTAATATCTGAAAATTGCGAGAATATATTTATTATCTTCATAATTTTATAATCTCTCAATTTCGTTTTTAGCTTAAAGGAAATTTCCAACAAATAGACATTTCGTTTCAAACGGCTTAATATGTAGAAAAATATTTTGAAGTTTACATTCTAAATTATTTATTATATCAAAATATCTATGAGAAACTTTTCGAGAAAAAAATCCTGGTTTAAATTCATTAAAAAATCCATCGTAGAATTAGATTTTCTAAAATTTCTGTGTTGTTTCGAGCATCTTGTTGCGTTTTTTATAGCGACAAATTTTTATCTTATTGGTTGAGTAACCTGACGTAGCGCGGGGCAGGGGTTAAAGAAATAATTAAGCGCCATTATCGCGTCGCATTTTCATCGTGGAAGTGCTGCAACCAACCAACCATCGACTAGATCCGTAGAATCGCCAACAGAGCGAGACGAGCTGCACGCATCACAAGTTAACTTCCCTGAGGCAGCTCAAATAGAATCTGTATTACGCCAGAGCGGTACATAGAGAGAGAGAGCGAGAGAGAGAGAGAGAGAGAGAGGGAGGGTAGGAGTGAGAGAGAAGCTGTTAGGGGTGAGAGGCGTGCACGAGAAACATGGATATGTACACTAGGTTTGATAAATGCCGTAATATTCACTAGCTCCACTGAATATATTAATACATGTAATAATTATTACTAATAAAAACCACATGATAAATATTATGGTCTTATAGCTAAGATAATAATTTGTACCTTATAAATTTGATGAAAATAAGGATATATTCCTTTTCCATTTTATTATCAAATAAAATCACTTCAATCTTTACTTAACGAGCTAAATTTGATCTTAATTTACTTAACGTAGTTTATTGACGCAGACGAAATTTTATCTTGATAAATCAGCTGCGAGAATGCACAAACGAATATTTCCTAATTGTTTTCTAGTAATAATGCTGACAGAGTATCATATATTTGGATTCGGTGCATCTTTTCGAAAAACCTGTCTCGATTTAGGGTGAATGTATCGAGACATTTATGACGCCTGGGTGTACGAGCGAGAGGGAGATAGGAATTAGGGAGATCGAGAGAGATGGGAGATACGGCGGAACCGCGATATAGATGCGGATGCGAGTCTACCTGGGCGCACTATCGGTTCACAGAGTCGAGCCGAGCCGAGAGCGAATATTGTGTTTACCCGTACGCATGGCTTTGCGGTGCAAATAATCTGGTATTATTGCACTTACTCCACGTACGCGCGGGCGAAACTCTTCGCCAACTGCCATTCCCCCGCCGCTTCCGCTTCTTTGTTACAGGCGCTCTTCGTGCTGGATTTCAATATCCGTTCGCGCTAATGTTAATGCCGCGTATTGTGTCGTTGTGCCTCTGAAATTTCACGACGCGCGAGACGTTGTAATGATTATTATTCGGTGTCTTGCGTCCTATATTGCCGTGCACCTGTCTGTTTCATATATCTCTCTACTTTAGCGCTTTATTCCTAATTGCTTATAATTCAAGACGTATATAATTTAACATTTTGACAATCTTTAAAAAAATGTTATTCTAAATTCATCCAAGTATATCCATAGGAGGAAAAGCAAACACGATAAAAAAGAAGAGAAGATATATTACAATATCTAAAGTCGAAAGTTATTGTATTAGGCTTAACAATTTTTATTTTTATTTACTCGTGCAACAAAACAGTAATATCATTGTCTACTGATATCCTCAGGCAGAAACAAGCAATTGCATTCTGCTGCGCAAGAAAAGCGAGGTCCGTTATCACGTAGCGATTCTCAATAAAAATATTTTCGTCATGCATTTCTCGCAGAGTTTTTTTCTCGCGCGGGGGACATCGCGAAGAAGTGCTTGAAAAGTTCCGTGCCTCTCGGCCTCCCTTGCCGATTCAGCGATTACCGCGTTTTAATCTTAAGACCGACGAGGACGACAGGGGTGGAGGAAAGGAAAACGCGCGACGCCCGCGCGGGGTGGAGTGCGCCCCGCTCCATAGAACTCTTCGAGGTTCGCCATTCACTTCGCGGCGGATTGCGGATTCCGAGAGTTCCACCATTCGATCCGATTGCTTCTTACCCTGGACTCTCGCCGCTCGTATTTACCTCCTGATTTCTTCCCTCTCGCCCCCTGCCTCCTTCTGTCCCCGTTCTCGCCACCGTCAGTTTCCTCGGACCAAATCTTCTGGAAATTCCAAGGCAAACCGCGATCGGGTGTCGTCGGCTTTATACTCGCGGCTACGAAACTATACGTATAGCGGAATGAATTTGCGCTGGATTCGGGATCGAACTTCGATTTGACCGATTTTTTTGTGAAGATTGTTCGAACGTTTTACGTAAAACTCATAATTGACATTTAAACACAATGTTGTTTTTTAAGCAGATAATTTATTTACCATTTGAGAAAGAAAAGGTGAAAGAGTATCTGAATAGTGGATTTAACTTGAAGATAAAAAAAACTTTAAGAATACATAGATTAGTTTTAATGCGTGATATATGGTTTAATTTAACTTTTAGCAAAGATTTTTTGAGAGAAATTTATAACTTGTTAGTGGATCTGATAAATTACGACGTACACGAAGTAAGAATGTAAACATATGCTATATTTTAAATTTACCTATGTATTTAATAGACATAATTTTTCCATAACGAAATATGTCAGCGCACACATCCAATTTTATCAATTAAATTTCTATATACTGAAGTTTTAATCAATCGTGTAGTTTCATAATAATATTTCAGAATATAGCACTAAAACAAGTAATAATTTACGTTATACCGTTTTGTAAAATAATCTTAAATACGTTTTACAAGAAAATTTTAGAAAATTTTCGCGACACATGTGCAAAGAGATTCGCGGATTAAGGAACCGCCGACGCATTTCGTCGTCTACATAGCACTATGCGACCTAAAATCCTCAATCTCGCGGGAGAGCAGTCGACGTTGAAAAATAGAAGCGCAGCCGCTTTTGCGGTGACAAAAGTGCACGGTGTGCGGCACAAAGCTCACAAAGAGCTCAAAGAGGAGGAGGACGAAGAAGAAGAATAAGACGAGGACGAAGTTAGTAAGAATCGTGAGAGGAGCAGCGAGAGAAAGAGAAAGAGAGAGAGAGAGTGAGTGTTTACTGGCGGAGAAAGACCGCGTCGCTGCTGTGCGGATGACTCGTCCTCGTCGCCGTTCTTGGCCCTCCCCGCAAAAAGCTCCGCGAGATTATGCCGCCATCTTGGATGTTGGTAAATATCCCGTGCCGAAAGAGAGTCTCCAGTCGGGCGAGGGATCCGGCATTGGGCGGAGAAGTAAGTCGCTGCTACTACTAGCCGATCCTCGTGACGGCGGTGGCAGTTGGATTGGTGGTAGTTGAGTCGGTGGTAGTAGTAGCAACGACGTGGTGTTGGTGGTGGCAATGGTGGTGGTGGTGGTGATGGTAGTCGCGAGGATGAAGAAGGCGCTGCGCAAGAAAGTCGAAAGCGTCGCAGGAGCCGGAGGGTGGGACGCGGAAAGGTAAAGAAGTGCGAAGAGGTCTTGGCGGCACAAGGCGAATATCCCCGCTACAAAGAATACTGTCGGCTTTGCACCTTTTTCAAGACGTCGTTTTCCCGCTTCGTCGAGAATCTCACACCCCTTCTCTCTACTCGAGAGCCTCGTCTCGTCCTTTTCCTCCCCGTCCCTTGCCGCGTCTGCCATTTTCGCCACCGACACCGAGATGTCCTCCGCGACTCCCCACCCCCCCTCACTCCTTTTTGCATCGAGTAGGAAGAGCCATTTACCTATGCGGTTCGGAGATGGTAAATTGAAGATTCTTTTTATCACGATTGAGTCCTTATTCGTACGATGTATATTGCGAGCTTTGTATTTGAGTGAATATCAGACATCGGAAAATATTGTCAGATAAATCGATTATTCATTTTAAAGGTTGAATATGATTTTGGAAATATTTAAGATGGACGACTGTCGAAAGATATGTATATCGCCATATCGGAAATCATTCTGCGGACTATTCTAAAGCAAATTATTCAAGATTTATAAAAGATAATAACAAGACAAATAAGTTTAGATCGTCCTATCAACGATATTGATTAATCGGCGTGGTTAAATTACGTGGTTCACCCTGTATATTGTCTCATTTGATTTCGCGCAGATTGAAGAAAGACACGGAGGGGGGTTCGGAGGGGGCCCTCAACGGCGGCCCGATTGCGGTGAAGCCGCGCGACCGAATCTGAAATTCAATTCAATGCAAATTTGCCGGCGGGGAGCACACTTACGGCTAACCGGCGAACGAGATCGAGGATTCGCTTAGTTGCTTAGAACGCGGTAAACACTCGCTGCTTTTACTCGAGACTTATGAA